ACCTCAGCCATACAGTTGATCCAATAAAAATATCACCCCCCAAAATCTTACCTTTTGCCTATCAAACTGATTTTACATAACCCTAATTAGCATTTATGGGCAGAAATATCTTCATTTCTTTTTTAAGCTTTTTGACTAGTCTCTTCCTTACCTTCTGTAGCATACCATTGTTTTAATGTATTTGGTGCTACTTACTTTATCTCATACTCCATTATCTCATTCCTGATTTCACAGTGAATTTGAAAGCCTTCAAAGAGTAGGGTCACCAATGAGATATTCATCTAAGGCAGGGGTCAGCAACATTTTTTGGGCAGAGGAGCAAAAACACCCACAACCTTGACTAGTAAGATGTTGGTGTGCCAGGGGCAGATGGCAAGGGAGCCACAAGAGGCACCCGATCTTTGTTGTGGCAATGACACCCCAGCTCTTTCCCGGGGGCACATGCGCCAAGAAAAATGTCTTTGCATGCCATGCTTTGGCATGTGATTTAAAGGTGTATGAATTGAGATAGGCAGCTAAGTCAGGGTTGGGCAAAATGGTGGATCCAACTGGCAGCCGGCCTCCATTTCCCAGCAGCCCCTGCCTGCATGACTGGGGCCAGTCTCCCTGCTGCAGCTCCACAAGGCTGGGGTTGCCATGGAGATCATCCATAGCCACGCTGGCAGGGTCCAGGGCAGGGTAAGGCAGGGAGCTGCTTTGGAGCTGCTGGGATCTTGTGGTGTAGGCAGCTTTGGCCAGGGCCAGGGCCAGGGCCAGGGCCAAGCTGTGATCTGCAGCCTGCATGCTCCAGGCAGGGGCACACAGGCAGCAGATCATGGCTCTACCCTGGCTCCATGCAGCGGTGACAGCTTTGTCATGGGGCAGAGCCATGATCCGCTGCCTGCACACCCCTGCCTGGAGCATAAAGGCTGCAGATCACAGCTCTGACCTGGCTCTGGACCAAGCTGTCCCCGCCACAAAATTTCAACGGCTCTGGAGCAACCCTCTGCCCTGCCCTGCCAGCATGGTTGGGGATGGTCTCCATGGCAACTCCAGCCTTGCGCTAATCACAGCGCAGCTGTGACCAGGGTCTCCATGAAGACTGGCCCCAGCCATGTGGGCAGGGGCTACTGCAAAATGGAGTCTACCGCCAGCTGGATCTAGCCTGCAGGCCAAAGTTTGCTCACCCCCGTGCTAAGTGCTGAACCACTGATCACATTGAGCCAATTCATACATCTATTGAGAGACCATGGAACGCTCATTCTCCTATGGCTTCAAGAAAAGAGAACGTATCTCAGTCAGGCTACTCTTTCCATTACACCTTATCTTGCAGATTAAATTACCCAATTACCTAAGGATGAGATATGATATAAAATTAAATCAGAAAAATAAATGTCAATAAAGATATCAGAATTGTTTTCCGAACTGGTACGAATACTAGAATCTGTTTTCTGTGTTGTTTACAAAACTCACAACGATGATGCAGTTGGCGCACAGTGCTCATTGCGTAACACACACATCATAAACATCTCATTGTTCCCTTTGTCTGTCTTTTGTATCCACCTGTTGTCTCTTATCTTGTATTTGGGGTGAGGAGCACGGTTCTTGTTAAATGTGCACTTAGCTTTTGGGACCGAGTTCTCTAGGCATTACCAAACTACAATTAAAAAATAGTAAGAAATTCAGGTTAATAGCAATTACGTTTTTGATTCACAAGGGCAAGTTGTCAGAAGTTTAAAAAACCCAAATGGCCTCATTCCAAATGGTACTTATTGTACAAAAACTATATAATCTATTTCCTTTCTTTCCTACTGCCTACATGGCTTAATTCATATTAAATTAGGGAACCAAATTCCCCTGCATCACCTTTGATTTTTAACATTACTAACATGATATGATAAAATGAAATCCCTGAGATAACCAAAAACATTTTCAAACTTATATTTCCATGAATTACGAGGTTTTCAAATGCGAGGAAATATATAAAACTGTAGATCACAATGTGCAAATGCCTGGCTGCTGAAAGTGTTTGGGGTAAGTTCTATGCAACATTCACAGAAGGATTTCTAGATTATGTGACATGGAAATTTCACTGTATATCCAGGATGCAATAGTTTAGATATAACAAGTCTCTGAAGCACAGGAAAGAAGGGCTGCTGACTTGGAACAGCTATTCATACAAAAAAGGTTTAAAAAGTACAATATTGTCCAAGTATCTTCATAATGAAAAACTCCCTGTAGCTTATTTCACAACTGTTAAGATAAAATGTAGATCAACTGCATCCAAAAGACAGATTTAAGTGACCAACGAAAAAGTACTAGGATCCTCAGCAGGTAGAAAGCTGGACTTACTGAAAGATTGGATTGAAACACTATGGATCCGACACACAAAATGTAATTATACCTAGTGAATTTCTGAATTTTATAGCATTATCTTCATCATCTGAATATTCGCACTTCCCATTGCCTTCAAACATGAAAACGCTTAGCAAATCAGTAGCAATCCCTTTAGCGTCAGAAATCACTAATGTCAATAATCAAGTCTAAGTAAAGCTCTTTTGCATGTAATATAGTCTACTACATTACTGATAAATAATTGTTAGTGATCAGCTACAGCCAAGTGAGAGTCTTAGAGGAATCAGTAATCTTCCATCTTCTTTGCCATGGTGTCTTTTCAAACAACAGTTGAAATCTATCTGAAACAGTACCATTCATTTTTGCCAGAAGAGTTCTGAAGCAACTTTCTTTTGAAGTAACTCACGTTATATCATTACAATATCTAACCACGAAGCTTGATGCCATCTTATTTTAGGTACAAATGTATTTATTTGTAACTAACTGCTACTAGCCTGCATTTAATCTGTGGAATGCAATAACTATTCAACAGAAAAAAAACACGTGCAACCAGCTTTTTTAGTGGGAAATGCTCAATATTACTTGTTCCTACGTCCCCTCACCCCCCAATCTCCCACAGGGAGGTGAAAGAATCAATGTCCTCCCCAGCTTCTCAGGAAATCTTGGAGACGAGCTCTTTATGGGCCATAGACATTTACTGGGAAAGGGATAAGGACTAAGCCATTGAAAGATTGGGTGCTATGACATTAGATGACAGTGAGCCTTGGAGAACACACAAAGTTGCCACTTTAGTCCACTTTCTTGTTCTGTTTGGCAATTGAGGACTTGCATCTATGAACAAGAGGCTGGTCTCTCCTGGATCTCTACAGACACTCAAGGTTCCACAGTTCATTCCACACTGGGGTAACTTCCACTTCCCACATACTATGCTTCTTAGCCTCAGTCCCATAGATTTTACTGCAGTTATGCAGTCAAAATGATTGACAATTTGGTACTGTTGAGAAAGCTAGTAAAGATGCATTGCACACCAGATTCTAATCTGAGCAAATTTACACGTAAGAGTCTGTATGCCTTTATGTAAACGTTATAGCAGATTAGTGCTTTGGCACCCAACAATTTTTTTTTTTTTTTTTTTTTTAAAATTTTTTTCCTTTTTTTTTTTTTTAATCAAAAAAAATACCACAATAAGGAAGCTTTTTTTTTTTTTTTTAAAATTTTTTTCCTTTTTTTTTTTTTTAATCAAAAAAAATACCACAATAAGGAAGCTTTTTTTTTTTTTTTTAGACATTTGTCACTTCATATTTATTGTAATCCAAATAACTACCATCATCAGAGACGCTATGTTTTAATTTCTCAGAGATAGGCTATTTAACCTTTGACTGAATAAAAAGAAATATGCATTTTATGGAAACTATAATTTAAAGCAAAACAATGGATTTAAGATATGAGACTTAAAAATGATTAAATCTTCCTCTTTCATTCCCAAGACCAATTACCAATATAAATCTCAGATAAGAATCTCTGCTTGGTAGGTTGACTTAGCTAGGATCCAGCCCCCTGTTTCTTATCATAGTTACCATGACTGCAGCATAGTACTTCTAAAGGCAATAAAGCCACTACTATCATCTCATGATTGGTCTGAAATTATCTAACGTTACTGATGCACATTTATGTATAAATTACTATGTATAATGATGAAACAAGCTGTCAGAGGACACAGTTTAGACTTCATCATAATGTACTTTAGTAGAGAGTCTCTATATTACTCAAATGAAGTACAGTACCTGATGGCTTTGATGTAAAATTGGCCAAAACGCTAATGAAATAATCAGATTGCTAAACCATGGCAAGAAGCAGAATATGGTATCAAATGCTGTAATTATAATATAGAGATATAATACACTATTCAGATCTATACACTGAAAAATTCTGGAAACTGGAAATATAGCTGTATCTTGAGGAATGAGTAACTAAGAAGTTTATATAATCTTCTCAAACACTGATTTAAATAAGGATTTCCTCCAACACACACTGAATATTAATAAATGGCCTACAGTGCTTGTTTTATTACTATCACATCATAAGATAAAAAATAAAAAGGACTAGGTCATAAAACAAGAAACATCCATCCGAATGCCATCTTTCACAAAAAAAAGATATAGAACTGACAAACTCATTACTCAGCTGAAAGAACTCTATTTTTTACTTAAGGGTTACTCAGAACAAGTAAAGCAGAAAGGGTTGTCTTTTTTTTTTTTTTGCCACGAACAGTTTTTTGCAAAGACCTATGGGAAGGTAATTTCAATTTCAATGAAAGACAGTGCACAATTTCCTAGCTGTCTGCTGTTTGGCATTCAAAAATCTAACATAAAACACAATAACCCACACTTTTGTTTTAATGCTTGCAGTATCTTACAACAGTACCACAACACAGATAAATTAAACAACAGAACGTTACTCCATATACAGCATACATGCACATCAGTTTCAGCTTTAAAGTAAAATCTCGTCTGACAGGGACAGCAAATCTGCCACAAAGACTAACAAGATTGCAAACAGTTCCTCAAATACTCTTTTCTTGTGACTATATAGTTAAAGATAATAAATCCCATAACATCTGTAATAATAATCCTGTCAACTGAGTCTGTTGCTAAAGTGTACTGTACCATTATGATGAGAGTTCTGGGTCTGCTCATTTCATCATCACTATCCAGTGGCAGAATTTCATGTGACAATTCCTCTTGTCGTCGTCTACAAATATGTGGACAGTTCCTCTGTACCACAGAACGAAAGGCTTGAAGCAGAACAATGCTGGCAGCACAACCCATATCTGCATCCTGAAGCCTACAAAATAACTTCTATGTTTATGCTACGTTTGAAAAACAGTGGCTCCTTGTCCCTGAAAACAGCCTACAGTGCAGCTGCAGCCAGCTAGCTCTCCAATCGCTTCCTTGAGCTGTGATCATCTGATCACAACCAAATAGCTTGGATGCGATATAGGAAAGATTTTGATCCACTGAAACTAAACACACTCACGCAACATTAAGATCTTTTTCTCCCTGTGTATGCTTCTGAATTCACACGAGAACATTTGTGCTTCCTGTGTTTTACAATAATCCTCCTCTGATTCCAGCCTTGTGGAACCAAAATTATTAAAATCCCCAGTTTAAGGAAGCCAGCTGTGCATTTAAAAATCAGGACAGGATCAATCACAAGAACCCGTTAATAATCATGTGTAAACTTAAGGCTGACAATATTTCTAAAATACTTCATTTAGGCTATTTTTCTTTAATTGGGAAAAATAGTTGTGGCTCACTGAGGATCTGAGCTGCATTTTTTCATGTCTCATCATTTACTGAAACAGTCAGCTCATTTGATTTGTAAATGTAACAAGTAAAAATAATGCAAAAGCTGGACTGCTTCATGTGGCTCATGTTAAAATATCCATGGTTTGATGTGAAATGCCAGTGTTTATCTCTGAAATGGCTTTCAATATTATACTTGTTATGTGTTCCCACACAGGCAGTTCTTCTGCAGAAATTAACATTTTTACATTTTTATAGACAGCTAGCGTGGAAAAGGATCACTGCTAATGAGGTCACACAGAAAAAGCACAACTGACCTTCTAAGAAAGCATTTTATCTTTTTTTTTTTTATTGATAAATCAGGAAAAGAAAAGAGGCTGCAGGCTGTTAGCAGTTAACAACTTTGCATTCCGACTCCTGCCAGACAAGTCATTCAGAAAGCAGTTAAAGAAATGCTTAGAAATCACATAACCAGCTTGGAAACATATCAAGGACTAATGGTATATAGTGTAAGATAATAGCACTTCAGAGAAAGTTAGCACTAAAAATATCTAGCACAAAATGGATTTTTCTTATAAATGAGAACTAAGAATTTCCAATAGTGATTCTAACGTAACAGCCGTCTCAAACTAGTGTGCATAACTGCCTTACATTTATCCTATACAAAGGCTTCTGTTTCTATTGATGACAGACAGGTTTATTTGCACAAAAGCACAGAGATCCCGTAATTTCTGTTAATATCATCTTTGGAAATACTCTTCCTATAAATCTTCTGAAGATGGAATAGGATAACACTGCTCCATGGGACCATTCTGCACTGGGTTTGATTAGGCTTTAATTGCCCAGTAATCTGTCAAAAGACAGTATCATTTTAATTAGAACACATGCCAGGGAAGTGAAATGTGCTCTTTTAAAGCAATGTACTTGCTGCCAGGATTTCTCATGTCTCTTTGGAGTAAACTGATTTGTGTTCCAAAGGAAAACAGCTAAAAGCACAGGCAGACATTGCACAAACAGCCATGTTGTCAATAATTCAGTTATGACCAGTTCTTCCATGTCTAGATCTTTTACTAGGAACAGACATACACTCTTATGCGATGGTTGCATCTATACATGAGAGTGCACTAGAGAGGAGGCCTCATGTTATGCTTTTATGCCTATTAGTTTGACTTTTTCTAATACGATTACAACAGCACAGTGGCACAGCTGTGTAATTTCTGCACAAAATCAGTAATCTTGCCTGCTGTTGCTAGTATTGTTTATATTTCCATCAATCTCCTATCTGCTCCAGTACCGAAGTTGACACCCTGGCCACACAAGAGACGCTTGGCAGCTGTGGAACCCAAATTCCTAACTAACTAATTCCAACAGCATCAATTTGGCTCTTGCTTACTTCCTGCACAGATTTTATAGTTGGCTGTTATGGTGACTGCTGCACTACCTTCTTAAGCGCTATTAATGCTTCTCTTGTCTTTTTCGATGACATTTTCTTTTACTAATACACCATTCCAATGTGAAAGCTGAAGAGGATTTTTTTTAAATGAATTTTGGTTTCCATGATAAAACTGAATCCAGTACTATCACCCATACACATGCTAAATAGTATCCTGGAACTTGATTCAAAGCCCACTGAAATCCAAGCAAAGACTTCCATTTATTTCACTGGGCTTTGGATCAGGCCCATCCTCTGCAAGCAATCTCTCTGCCTTTGTTACGGTTACATGAGGAGCAGAGTATTAGTGAATCAAAGTATGGGTGGCAGAATCTTGGCAAGCAATTCTCCACTCTTAAGAAGTGAGGGAAAAAATGAATAAACACATCTCTCCCAAATACAGAACTCAGCAAGTCAGAAACTTGGAAACTGGTCTCCAAATTAGGATTGTAATCCTGGAAAATGAAGCAGTAAAAGGCCTTTATTTCAAGGATATTTTTCTGAAGCAACTGAGTGTAAGGGAGGAAATTCTAAAAATACATCAAAACAATAGCTGAATGTAGCTACATCAGAATTAAAATAAGGCAACAGTGGCTATACTTTTTAATATAAGTGTGTTCTAAATTTATGATAGGATTATGATAATCTCTTATCAGTTCTTTTATTCTGCTGGGATGCAACCTTCAGCCACTATCTAGGCACGTAACGTACCTTCTATATGTTACCACTATAAGGTAGCTAGGACCTAGCTCCACCAGCTGAAGTCAGTGGAATGATTTTTGAAGTAAATAAAGTATTCCTTGTGGTGCAGCCACACAACATGACTGCAGAGCAATTTATCCCAGAGCATATTAACTTTGTAGTAAGGAGCAGAAACATGACTAGCTCTCCCACGCTGGCTGGCCACAGCAAAACACTAATACAGTGCCTGGCCAGCAGGTGGCAGAGAGTCAGTTTGCATTGAGCGAAGGGCTACCACAGTGAAACCCACTCAAGAAACAAACACAACTGCTTTAACCAACGTAAATGTATAGATACCCTTCCCTTACTGAAGGGTAACTTTACCCTTAAGTGAAGTGACCACCTTAAAGCTGTACATTGTGCACCTATTCTACCTTCAGTATAGTGTGAAACCAATTTACTCTGGAGTGAACATGGACCTGTCAATCTCACACGGTTTAAAAGGCAATTGTGCAGAACTGTTACACTGGCCGAGTCTGTAGGATCCACGGTAGGAGAAAAAAAGAGATCGTCCTTCAGTGCTAGACTGGCAGCTATCCAGAATCCTGCAGATCACAATAGATATAAGTTGATCAGTTAAAAGTTTTATCAGCTGCTTTCTTTAAAATTTTATAATTTGTGACTTTGGTATTTTTACTGTATATTAGTGATTTTGTTTTTCTTACAGAGTCCAAACCAAGACTGTTCCTCTCATTTCTATGACAAGTCTCAAACCCTGATTATCAAATTTATTCAGAACAACTGTGTCATTCACTTCAGTCCTAGTCCTGTGGTCATTTCTGAACACTGGCACATATTGTCCTGGCACAGAGAAGGTTTCATCAGGCAAGTCTTCACTCTGTTCACAGTCCTCACCATTCACAGTGGCTAGTAACTTTGGTGGAGGCAGCGTATGTTACGAAGTCTGCACCAGTTGAGTGAAACTGAGTGATGTTTTCTGTATTCTCCTACACATTACAAGCTTGACAGTGCATACAAGTAACTTCCTCAGACAGTTATCTAGCTGTACCTAGCCATTATAACAGTAGAGTCAAAGGCAGCTGGAGATGATGCTAACCACATCCCTTTTGCATCATGGGCTGTAGAAACCAACATGCCTTAACTATGTTAGCCTGGGAGCCCCTTGACCTTTTTTCTTTTAAAATGTCTTAGGTACTTATATGGTCCTTTTTACAATGGTACCTGAGCATGCCAGTCTAATCTATTTATCCTCACAACATCCAGGTAAGTGCTCTTATTCCCCCTTTTATAGTTGAGAAACAGGCACAAAGACACTACGGGTCAGACCCTGAGAGGTATTTTAATATCTAACCACTTTTTTAAATTAATGGGAATTAAGCATTAAAAGCACTAAGTATTTTAAAATCTGGAACTAAATGACTTGTACAGGAAGACTGTAGTAATGCAGAGATTTGAACCCGAGACTCCTAAGCAGTAGGGAGCACCCTGACCACTGGGCTCACTCTCCTTGCTAATACGCCCAAGCACATTTTTTTACCATATTATAAAAAAAAAAATATTTCTTATAACTATTCTCTTGTTTTTACCTCTCACAAGCTCTTCTCATTTCATTAATCATTTCCTTCCTGCTTTAACAGGTTACAAGGCAAAAGACCACAACTTGCCCACTTTTAGATGTGGATTCAGAGATCCCTACTTCCACGAAATCAAACATCACAAACTTTTATTAATTATAAATCTTCTTGGACATATGTATCTATTCCTCCTTACCTCAGCCTGTGGATACACTACTTTGGTAACTGCATACATTTACAAACTTTATGCTGCAACAATCAGTAACCACAACTCTCTTCAATTGCCCTGACTCTAGTGACTTCACTAGGAGTTCTGTCTAAGAACTGTAACATCCAGCCCACTTAACATGACTGAATTCAGTCAACTGATTAGTATTCAGAACTCAGAAAGGAAGTGACAAACAGTGAGGTTTACAGCATAGCGAGGAGTAAAGCAGTAAGCCAATACCAGAAAGCTTTGTGATAAGAATACATGTAGCTTTTCAGATCCACAGGATGTGGATATATAAGCCTTAGTATTTTTTCTGTAGGTGGTGGAGTATTTGTGCTACTTAAAATGAAGCTCTTTAACCTTCTACAAGAGAGAAAGGGAGGAGGCCATCTGTAAGATGCTGTTAGAACACCAATGGGTAGCCTGTTTGGGATCCTGAGTTCACAATATATTGTTATACAATAGAAAATAACTTATACTGCATTATTATACAGGATCATTCACATAAGATGCTTTAAAAAAAAGAAGTACTTTACACTCAGAGCAGCATTAAAAGAACCAACAATTCAGTGATTATTATGAAGACAGAAAGGGACAAGTGGGTGAGAATACAAGAAAGCTGAAATAGTTTAGATGTATCCTATTTCTACAGTGTCTGTAATTTTCTCTAACACTCATACAGGAGAAAAACGATGA